AAAAAAAAAAAAAAAAAAAAAAAAAAAAAAAACAGAAAAATATGGCCTTTTCTTAAGTAATTTTCCTTTTTTTTTTTTCAGTACAAAAAATGGTTTATAGGGCAGATGTGACTATTGCCTGAAGTGGAGGATTCATTTAGACTGTGATTAAGTGGGTTTCATCATTCTGTAGAGAGGAAAAAACAAAGTGTTCTCAAAGAGTATTTTATCAGGTTTCTGATCTGATCATAAGTTTTAATTGCCTTGATGTGAAAGTCTGATCTAAATGGGAGGAAAAGTAAAGTAGGCTGAGCTATCCACTGGGCACATGTGTCTGAAAGAAAATATTGAGGCATGGCCAGGAAAATGTTCCCCATGGATTCTTTTCCCATCTATATTTTGAAGCAGAATTTTTTAAGTTTATTTATTTTTGGGTAGTATTTCCAGAAGATAATTGATTCATATTGTGTGAGGTCTTTTATTATGTAAGGTTGCTTATAATTTTAGTATTTCTTCAGACTTCTCCAGTATTATTCAGTATTAGTAGCTTAATATAATATGTTCCGAGTTATCTCCRAATGAGCTTTTCTACAGTGCAGGAACTGACTTGATTATCGTCTTGTTAACACCTTTTCTTTCAAAGCCAAATGTGTATAATACATTTACAATCATAAACTCCAGATTTTGCTATTATATTTGGATTTCCAGCCTGTATTATTTTTATACAAAAATAAGATATCAATTTGGAATGACTAAGTCACACCATTCTATTGTCAGAGGTTGTATTTTGATTTGTCAGGAGTTACTCACATGCATATTTTCTATACCTATATACTTATTCCTAGTAACCAAAGCATAAGGCAATAATGTTCTTTCTGTAGGAATAGTAGATAGTAGATAGCAACTACTATTTTTTTAAATGTTTAGATGTAAAGTAAGTTTGCTGTAAAGAGGAAGAAGAGWTTTTGCTCTTGCTGTTGTTGAAGAAATATGTGAAAGAAATGGAAGCCTTGACTGTCACCACTTCCATTAGAGAGTCCCTCTCCTCGTTATAAATTTTCATATTAGTTTTATACTTTTACGTGGATTCATTTTTCATTTCAGAAGCACCTTTATAATTTCCTGGCTCTCACTTAAACCAGGTGGTGTCATCTTCCTCCTCAATACAATACCTGACAGTTCAATACCCCCTGAGAGTTTGGGGCACACAGTTTGCACAGTTATTTTATTAGGTGTGGTTACCTCAGCCATTTGCCAAAGAAGTGGTTGTGAGCACTCCTACAGCAATATTAAAAAAAATATATAATTTATCCAGAAAAATTTTGCACTTCAATGACACATCAGCCTTTCTGCGTTCAGGTGCTGAGGAAGATGAGGACGGTGCGGTGGCCACAACATCCAGAACACTTCCAAAGATACCAACAACTAGTGATGCATCGCGAGCCGAGACGACCACGCTGAAAACGCAGACCAAGATGCCAGCACAAACAAAGGTGGGACACAGAGCAGCGATGCTGTGTAAAATGGTCCTGCTGTGCCCTGTTGCTGATTTGACGTTAACTGTAGTGGATTTACATCTATTTAAAAAAAAAAAAAGCCCTCATTTAATGTTATTATAGCCCGTTAAATGGATGCTGAGCTGCTCAGACACTTTCGTTCCCAGTAGAAAGCCTGGGTGGTGGCATCTGGATTCCATGTGCACGGAAAGAGATRCGTAAACAAGAAAACTTTTATTTTTCATCACTGTGTGAGCTGAAGTTCCAGGCTGTCTTGCATTCATTCTTGCTGTTCTTCAGTTTAGATTAGCAGCTCTTGCTGCCTTTGCCTCAACTTGTAGCAATATACTACTATATTTTTTTAATTCTTTTTAGAGATGTAAAATCTAAAATACTATGTGAAAACTCCCTCTCAAAGGAGAACTCTGTTTGGTTTAACTGCATTTTGAATATGTCCAAGGTACCATGCAGTATCACAGAATTTTCTACCCCCCATCTTTTCCAAATTAYGTTATACACAAAACGGTGTCTGATGTGATAATTGCAGCATTGCTCTTTCCTTTAAAGGCCATTATACTTATAAACACTAGCAGCATTTAACAGCTGTTTGCTAAAATGTACTTGAGGGGTGCAGGGGGACTAAGMTCTTGGATAGTGTTCTTTCCCTGTGTAAAGTGTGCATTTTTGTTGTTGTTTTATTTTGTTTTTACATTTGTTTTGTTTTTACATTAGATCTAGTATTAAAACTGCGGAATTTTACTGGGTCTGTTGGCACTCACTTGAACCAGAAAGATGCAAGGCAATTGTAGCACTTCAGGGTGGGAGCCATCTCACCTAAGTTTACATATTTATATTGTAGATAATGTCCTTTACAATGACATATCAAGTATTTCTTATTGATTGTGAAGTAGACACCTAGGATAGTGTAGGTCAGATTAATCTCTAATGTTGTTGATACTCAAATGTAGGGAAGGAATTGGCTCCCCAAAYGATCCAAGGGTTTGTCCACTGAGCTGGTGGTTGTTGGGCACAGAGCTTTATAGCCAGTCACTGCTTACCCAGAGAGCTTACCAGGGACTTAATCCAGAACGGGGTTATATACACAGGGAAAAAGTGGGGAAAAAGGAACCTAAAAGACAAAACTCAAAAGTGGAAAGTTTATTTCTGACATCACGATGGCTATTGGATACATTTACAATGTTCAGTACAGCTTTCTGCTGTCAAAAACCACCCTGTTTTGCTGTGTTTGTCAGTATGGTAGAGTGTGTGTGTGTTGAGTCGTAGCCTTCTGGCTGCCATGGCTCGCAGTGGCTGTGCAGACATTTCGTGCTTTCAGTCTATAAAACATGTTTGTTTTCCTTTTTTTACCACAGTCACCGGAAGAAATTGATAAAGAGCAAAGGCCTGAGACAAATGCCAAGAAAAACAGCGATGAGTCAGGAGATGATACTGATGTGTTAACTGAGAAGCATTCAGAAAATCTGTTTCAGAGAACAGAAGTTCTGGCAGGTAAGGCGTRCTTTGCCCAGGTCCCTTCCACCAGAAATGACATAGAAAATAGTGATCCATATCAGATAATGCACTTGTCAGCATTGGTATGTGGCTGCTAGGTTCCTCAAGCATCAGGCATTTCCATGGAGTAGCCAGCCAAGGRTTTGTTGAAGGAGAATTCTGTGGTGCAGAGATGCCTTCCCTTTCCCAAGAGCACAGAGTCACTGCCTGGAAAGAGCTGACACRGGAAGGGAGGAAGGGAAGTGATGGGCAGAGAGACAAGGGGATGGAGGGACAGGGAGATCCTTGCCATGAGGTTATGGAGGATGCATTTCCATGCATAACCCTGGCACACACTGGCCACCAGCTTCAAAGAGAGCACGTGGCCTTCAGTGTGGTTGTTTTTGTTTTCCTGTTTTCCAATAGGATGTTTCTAAATGATTTTTTGTTGTTGTTTGTATTTCCTTTTTTGGCCCAAGAACTGTTTTCATAGGCATTCTGTCCCCTTTTGTCCCAGGAGGGGGCATCAGGAGCCAAAAAGGGGACTAAGGGCCRCACAATTTTGGACATTCTCTGAGAATGGAAATGTGGAGATAAAAATAGCATAAGCAGCCACATCTGTAGAAGCATGCAGGTTTGCTGTTGCAGTTTAATTGGAGTTGTTACTTTCTACATACTAGCAAGTATGTGATGAATGTATTGCTTCTATTACTAGAACTACGTGAAGTATTCTCTCCTATTACTCATCATTCAGAAATTAATTTTAGCCTAGAGTCATGGTGTAAAAACTTACAGAGAAACGGGGTAATCCACTTTTTAGGTAGTGTAACAAAATAGTCCTGTTGAGGCTGTGAACATTACATCTTAGCTGCTGAAAAATGAGCTTGAAAGGGGTTAGGTTTTATTATAAATGAAGACTACTTCATGCTCTGTCAGTATTGGTAGCTCTATTAATGGAGAGCTTTGAATTATTCTTGTTACTTTCTTAGAAGTAGGGGTTGCTGGAGTGCTGACTTTTAGAGGGAATGTCCTTTTAAATGGATTCCTTCAGAAAACCAAGCAAACGTATCCAAAAATGTACTTCAGGGTACTAATAATCGAGACAGTTACTCGGTGGGCGCAAATTCCTGTAATTTGGAAATAAAGGTAAACTTTTGGKGTGAGCTGAAAATGTGGTGCTGAACCCGTTGTGCTGGCATATTGTGAATCTCTACTTCTTTCCTTGCAGCTGTTATTGCTGGTGGAGTTATTGGCTTCCTTTTTGCCATCTTCCTTATCCTGCTACTGGTATATCGCATGAGAAAGAAGGATGAAGGCAGCTATGATCTGGGCGAGCGGAAACCATCTAGTGCTGCCTATCAAAAGGCACCTACTAAGGAGTTTTATGCATAAAATTCCTATTTAGTGTCTCTATTTATGAGATCACTGAACTTTTTTAAATAAAGCTTTTGCATAGAATAATGAAGATTTTTTTTGTTTTGTTTTTGTTTTTTTTTCGTTCAAGAGCCATTACGGCACCTTTATGATAAAAATCCCATTGTATTTAAAACTTTTCATGTATTCCTTTAAAATGTAAAATTAAGACTTAACATTTGCAGTGTTCTGTGAATAACAGTGGCAAAGCATTATTTTATAAAACCATTGATGTTCACTGAATCATTTTTAAAACTTTATGCATAAATATAAAATAATGAAAATGATTGTTTTATCATATGGTTTGATGAAAGTTGTTTAATTTTTGTCAGCATGTCTCAGATTGATCTTACAAGTTAGTTTTTATTTCATTAATTTATCTGTTTCCAAAAAAAATGCCTTTTGTAGTTGTCATGGTGCAATTTGTCTTCAGATAATTCAGATAACAGTAACTTTTAGTGTAAATGTAATTTTTCAGCTATGTAAACTTTAACCTCCACTTTGTATAAATTTAAGTGTCACAATATAAATTTTACACTTTGCATTGTTCCTCAGCGTACCTGTAGCTTCAGTGAGATTTGTAACAGCAAATTAATGTGTAAAATTGGATTAATACTACAAACTGTATAGTCATATTCTTACTAAGCAAATCTTCTGTAAGGAGGATTTGAAGTAAGCTACTGACAAACCTAAGCAAACCCAAAGACTCTAACAGTATTTTGAGAAGTTGCTGCAGATTTCTATGGCCACTGTATTTGTCAATTATTTGCAGTTTGAAGGTACAAGTAGGAGTTTAAGTTTTTGTTCTTTAAAAAATGCATTTAAGTTGTAAACGTCTTTTAAAGCCTTTGAAGTGCCTATGATTACATGTAACTCGTCGCAGACTGGTGTTAATGAGTATATAACAGTAAAAGAAAATGTTGGTATTTTATAAGCACAGACAATTCTAATGGTAACTTTTGTAGTCTTACATGGATAGACATAACTGTAATTTGGGAACATAAACACTACTGAATAAATCATGTGGCCTAATACTGAGAGCTCCATTGTGAAATACTTTTGTACGTTTTTCATTTTATGACTACTTGGTTAGGTTTTAATGTCACAAATGACATCTATTAGATCTTAGAAATCAAGACCAAAAGAAAGAAAAAAGCTGCTGATAAGGCTAATTCTTGGACCAGATTTATTGCTGAAGTAGCAGGGAAAACCTGGGATGTTTAAAGGTCAATCTGAATTCTGAGTCATTCAATCTTTGCATTATATTTAATGGCMGAATCGATACAGACCTGTTCTTCCTGCAAGCTTCTTTTCAGTGGTGTAAAATTCAAAGGAGCACCCAGTTTCATTTATTATGTATATCAGTTCTTGKTTTTTTTTGTTGTTTGGGTTTGTTTTCCCCTTCCTTTTGGAGAATTCTGTTTTTCTGCTCGGACTACAGCAGAAGAATCGAGACAAGTGGAATATCTTCATAAGAGAAGACAGAAATATTCCAAGTAGAAGAGAAAAGGCTCTGTTGCTTAGACCACAGATAGGTATTGGATAGAGGGACATGCGAAGAAGACGATAGTCTGCCTCTCTATATTACGCTTTGTAAGACAAATGGCTTCGTCTTCTGGTCTGTTATCTCTCACTTTGCTAATATTGAAATTTCCAAAAGAGCTGTTCAGAACGTCAAATTGAACGGGTTCTCAGAAATGGCAATCTATTGTAAATAAGAGCTGGTAGCTCTTTGGTAAGAGTTGCATAACTTGTATTTGTTGCTGTCCCAAGTTCAGTGGTCATTTAGGAAAAATGAAAGCTATTCTGCGCTAGAATATTTAATATATTGCTTTTTWAAATTACTTACATTTACTGGCAGTTTTTCAAAGCCATACAAGTTCAACAAGTAAAAACAGGGTAAGAATTTAACAGGTATATCTTATTGTGCAATATTTAGAGAAAATCAATTATTAAAATAACTGCTTTAAATAACTGTGCCAAGAAAAGAGAGTTTCTGGCAAATGCTGTGCCACTGCTGTAAAATAAAGCATTTGTTAAAGTGCCAAAATAAAGTCTACCATGCCTAAACTAATACTTTATTTGTATAGTCTGACATCCAGTTTTTTGAAGCCCACTTTACTTAAGGGAGATCTGAATTTCCTTTAAGGGTATAATGAATATCACTGTAAATATAGTTATAAATATTAAATGCCAGATAAATTATCTCCTTCATTTTCCACAGGCCAGTTGATACTGAGATCTTTACGAATTTGACACCCTGTGTCTCTACCTAATGWACAGGCTGTTTTACCCTCCATAGATTCCATGCCATTCTAAGTATCCTGGCTATCAAATATTATGCTTTCCTGGTTCCTCCTTCATCTCTTTACAAGCAGCACTGGACAAGTGTTCCAGCTCTGCTTCACCTCTCTCTTCTTGCCTTTTTTCCCTACACATTCCTTCCCTTCTGTAATATGCCGAAGAGATGTAACACTTGCCCTGTGTACACACACTTCACAAAGCATCTCGGTGCTCCCCTTCCTCCCACCCTCAAAAAGAAACCTGGAACACTTTTAACATTCAGCAGGCCTGTTAATAACCCTTACTGTCTTTTGATCTCTTTTTTCCCTTMTGTTTTCCATGCCAAGCTATACTATTAGGGTAAAATTCTAACAGCGCTATCATCTTGGTGATAAACGATTGGTCCTGTTTTAATCAATTTGCAAACCAGGCTGCTGCAGATGCCCGTCTTGTAGCAGCACTAGTCAAAAGCAAGTGCAGCTGAATGCCCTTCTCTTGCCCCGGGACTTCCTTGCCTTGGTTGGCCTTCAGTTCTGCTCCCCTTTTGTCACTGCCTTCCTGGACGYGTTTCTGGCTGCTCGGAGATGTTGCCGGGCAGCTGCGGCTCCCAGAGCCAAGCGGTGGGTGCTCCCCCTCATGCCCGCCGTGGCATTTGTGTCTTTGGGATGGCTTTTCCTAAAGCCCCCCTTGGCTCTTCTCCACTGGAGCTGCTGGAGCAACTGTGAAACTCCTCAGCAACCCGATACGGCATTTCCTTGGGACTGATACGCTGCAGTAGTCACCTACGTGCCATTTGCTTTGATTTATTCCAGGTTATAAATGGTTAGTTCCCTTTCAAATTCCTTGCAAAGGAAACCCCATGGAAGTTGCCTCAAGTTAATGTGAAAAGAAGCCCTTGGTCTTTGTTTTCTTCATGGAAAAATAATCTTAGAATTTGACATCCTGGTTCCTCTGCTTTCTGGCTTTAGAAGTAGCTGTGTTTACATGCTCTGTAGCTTTGTTGTACTCTGAGCACTATGCTTCATTGAAATTGGATAAATTAAAACCAAAACCATGTACTTTTTTTTTGTTAGTAACTGATTTTGTAACAAGAAAATAGTATGTTCAAAACTTTGTCTGTATTTTGCTTCTTTTTTTTTTTCCCCCTAGACTTGTGTGTTGAAATGGTTAAGGAGTGGAGTCTTAAATGTCAAATACTATTTTTAAGCAACATATGGAATGGAGGAAACCTTTGTGTAAGGAAAGAATGTACCCAGATAAATATAAGATTGACACTATTGCTGTGAAGAGAATGACAGTATATTTAGTAYTATATTCTCTGCTCAAGTAAACAAACAGAGGGAAAGGAAAATGAGAGGGACAAAAAAGCTTTTTAAAGACGATTTTACAGAAAAATAACACACCAAAATAATTTTGAAACTTTTAATCAGTCRTATTTGACATTGATGTCCATTTTAATGAGCATTATGAACAGWGAATTTGAATGATTTAATACTAATTTCATTGCATTTTAGCTCTCAGAGCTGACAAACCTTGATGGGAAAATTTAGTGCTGTTGCTTAGAGCGTTGTTGGAGCATTCCCTGTCTGTAACTTTCTTCTGGTTCGGGAAGCACGACTTTGATACGCAGTTTGTCCATGAGAAAAGGCTGCAAGACTCCCCCTTCCTGGCACCCGCTCTGGTTCTGGATTGTTTGTGGCTGCAGCAGAACTGGTTTGCTAAGAACTGGCACGGGAGCSCAGGGCTGCTGACACATGCGTCTTATTTCCTCCTGACTCCTGCGATGACCAGGCTTTGGGTTCAGCTGTGTGGGTGGGAGGCGGAGGAGGCTGTAACTCAACCCTGCTGGTGGAAAAGATTCTCTGTAGAGATTTCTTCCCCTGAGAAGTGAAGTTAGTTGTGTGTTTTTGCTTTAAAAATAAACAAATGATAAAACTTAAGCTCTGCATAGCTGCAAATGGCAAYGTGGTCTCCTGGCCTGACCCCTGTGAACCGATCTCAAATGAGCATCAGATGTGCGAAGCAGCCTCTCATGGGGGTGGAGATGATGCAAATTTCTCCCTGTGTTTGCAGTGCTTGAGCTTAGTTTCTAGGCGAGGAGGGGAGAAGGAATGACCGTGTAGAACCAGACAGTGAATTTGGGGTGAGTAAAAGGAAAGGCAAAAAGAAAAACTGCCCTGTCAGTGCAGATTTTCCCCTGGAAGTCACAAGCAATTTTGCTGTCTTGAGCTGTTGCCATCACAGTGGATTTGCTCTTCACAAAGGGTGTCTGTAGACAGGAGCATGGGCAGATGTTGGTGTCTTTCCTACAGAGACCCGAGAGGACCCCTCTTTCAGTTGTAGGCAGCCACCTGATGGCTTACAGAACTGAGCTACCTGCTGCTGCTCGTGCAAGGCTCAGCTTGTGCTGCTGCTTGTGCAAGGCTCAGCTTGTGCTGCCTACTGACTCTCCCAGCCTTGCAGAGGAACTGCTGGAGCCAAACGTGTGGAGCAGCTGCAGGTTTGACCCTGGGCTCCTGCTGTCATTACTGGGAGGTGCTGGGAGCAGGAGGCAAAGGCTGGGGGTTGCATTGGGGTTGCAGCTCAGCATGCTGCTGGATACTGAAGCAACTCTCCATTTCTTTTCTCCATGCTCGGGAGTTATTAGGCTTGCRCCAGTCCCAACTACTTTGAAATAAAATGTTTATGGCACAGTCTGCAGAACTTTTCCATTTTGAAATTAATGTTGTGGCTTAAAAGAAGGAGTAATCAGGCTAGGKCTGAAGAGCACAACCTCTCATGGCTGAAGGTCCAGTCAAGAGGATGTCAGTCTGCAAGTTCTGCCCCAGCMGAGAGGGAACAGGAAAGTCTTTGGGAAGCTCAGTGGGTGAACGAGTTCTGTGTCCTAGTCAGCCACCCATCTCTGTGTCCAGATRCAGTCCTAGAGTCGGAGCAAAGCTTGGGGCCCGTCTTTCTGTGCTCCTGCAGAGGAACTAGAGCGCTTTCCAAATACTACAGCTCCCCAGAGGATAGCAAAGGATAGAGGAAGAGCAATGGGAACAGACTTTCTTTTTGATGTTTTTGTGTCATAACCCATAATACTAACACTCATCTCCCTCCTACTCCCCTTTCTAAATATAACAGCACAGGCAGAAGTCAACAACCATCACACTAAACCCTACTGAAAGAATGTAAAACAGCTTAAATTTTAGTTTTTGTCACTCATCTCTGTAATCTTCGTTATCACAGAACTAAATTAAGAATCTCTTGTGAGAGAAAGGTAGAGTGCACTTCCCTCTGGATCAGCTCGCAGCACCAGCTGAGCTCCAGCTGACCAAGGAAAACGGTGTCCCGTGAAGGAGCTTCTGGGGCTGAGTCTTGGGCTGCRGATGCCACACGTGAGCTTCTGTGCATCCTGGAAGGCTGGAACCGCGGGCTCTCTTTGCCTGGTCCTTGCTCCCAGGTTAGGCTGTGTGACCTTCAGACCTTTGGTGGAAGATTTTCCAAACGGTTCTAGTAGAAATTCATTATCTGCAACTTCTGGGAAAAGGTCCCCCCCCGAGGGTCACGGTGAATTTTAAATGACTGATTTTACTTATGAATCACGAAGCAGCAGGAAACCTGGATTTAAGACACCAGCTTTTACTATGTTTCGCACATGCTTAGCTATTTTTCAAAAGAATGTTGGTTTTTTGCTGGTGAGTAAAGTAAGACTTAGTGTCACTAAATGTAGTACCTCTCTTTGCTGTGCAGAAATGAGTATTTATGCAGTTACATAGCTTAATATATATTAAGTTATATTGTAATTTTTCGATTTTGTTCAATGAAAAATGGTAAATATTTATTTCAATCTTTTTTTTATGTAAATTGGAGTTTCATTAGAATTTCATGCAAAAAATGTTCTTATTAGGAAAATATTAGACACATCACAGCAGAGTCTATCAAAATATTTTGACTTTAAGTATGTGCATATATTGAACAAACTTACTTTTTAGGGAAAATGTTAGTAGTTACTGAATTGAATGAACTGAGCAATTGCGGTATGGTTTTAAAACCAGTAGGCTTGATAGGTTTCTGTTTTTTGGGGTTTTTTTTGTGGTTTTTTTGTTGTTGTTGTTTTTTTTTATAGGTTGGAAGAACAAACACAAGGTTTGCTGCTTTTCCAGTTCATAAATTGATCTATTAAAAAAAAGAAGCTTGAAAATGAAAAAGAGAAGAAAAGAGAACTTCATACCTGCAGACAAATCACCAAAAGGGCTCAAGCTTTTCTTGTCATCTCAAAAACTGGTTACAGTTGCTCAACCACCTGACTTTTCTCAATTCATGGCTTGATTTTCGTAATGGTTCTAGCAGTAAGAAATGATCACACTTTTTTTTTTTTTTTTTTTTTTTTTTTTTTTGTCTGTGCTTTTTATAATGGACGTTCAATCAGTAAAGGCTAAGCAAAATTTTACTTCAGC